GAAGGGAGATTAAAGAAGATGAAAGAACATTTTGTTCATCTTACAGTTCAAAATAATGCTGACAACAATAAAAGAAAACCAGGAAAAAATGGCAAAAAGAAGGATAAGGCTCCAATAAAAGATAATGTAAGCCAAGTCCGGAAAGAAGTCAAATGTTTTTTCTGTAAAAAGACTGGACACATTAAGAAAGATTGTCAGAAAAGAAAGGGATGGTTCGAAAGCAAAGGTAAACATAATATTTTAGTTTGCTTTGAATCGAATGTTATTGAAGTGCCCAATAATACTTGGTGGTTAGATTCAGGTGCTACTACTCACGTTTCTCATATTAAACAAGGATTCAGTATGATCCAAACCATAAAAGGACCTGAATGACACGTGGTCATGGTGAATAAGATGAAAGCACAGATAGAAGGCATTGAGACTTATATATTGGTCTTAGACACCGACTTTCACCTAGTTCTTGAAGGATGTCTTTATGTTCCTGAGTGTGCAAGAAATCTTGTTTCTATCGGAAAATTGGACTTGATGGGTTTTTCTGTTAAGTTCGGTTCTGGTATTTTTCAATTACATAAACATGAACACATTTTCGGTTTTAGTATTTTAATGGATAGTCTTTATCGTTTTAATCTTGATAGAAAGTTTTCAGAATCCTTGTTTGATGTTGAAAATATTATGGGCGTTAAACGTAGTGCACCTAATAATGAAAGTTCGGCTTTATTGTGGCATCAAAGATTAGGTCATATATCCAAAGAAATGTTAACAAGATTGGTGAAGAATGAAATTTTACCATGTTTAGATTTTAATGACTTAGGGGTATGTATAGAATGCATCAAAGGAAAGCAGACAAAACATACTGTAAAGAAAGCGGCCACAAGAAGCACTCAGCTTCTAGAATTAATTCACACTAATATTTGTGGTCCTTTTGATATTTCCACGTGGGGTGGAGAAAGGTACTTTATTACTTTTATCGACGATTACACACGTTATGGTTACACTTATCTTCTGCATGATAAATCTCAATCTGTGAACATCACTACAAAAAAAATGGTCATTTCCAACGGGTAAATCCGTTGGAAATTAACGTTTCCAACGGATTTCCAACGGATTTATCCGTTGGAATTTCGTCGTTAGAAATCGGTGTCCGTTGGAAAACCATTGGAATTTTCAACGGAATTTCAACGAATTTTTCCGTTGGAATTTTCCAACGGATTTCCAACCGCAATTTCGGTTGGAAAATTCCAACGAAATTTCCAACCGCAATCCGTTGGAATTTTCCAACGGAATTTTCAACCGGATTCCGTTGGAATTTTCCAACGAAAATTCGAAACATATTCCCGACCCGACCCCGACAACGGAATTTTCAACCAGCATCCGTTGGAATTCCGTTGGAATTTTTTTTAAAAATTTCCAAAAAATATTCCAACCGGCATCCGTTGGAAGTCCGTTGTAATTGTTTTCTAACAAACATCCGTTGGAACTCCGTTAAAGCTTTGCAACCGATTTTTCCAACGTTAATCCGTTGGAAATACCGTTGGAAATTTCCAACCCAATTTTTCAATTGAATACGTTGAAAATTCCGTTAAAAATTTCCATCGGGTGTTTTCAACGGATACCCGTTGGAAATTTTCAACGGAATTTTAACGGAAATCGTCGTTGAAACGCCGTTGAAAACCGTTGAAAATCCGTTGGAAAATTCGTTGGAATTCGAGGATTTTTTTGTAGTGCATACTTGAAGTGTTCATCAATGAGGTTGAGAGGCAGTTAGATAAAAGGGTTAAAGTTGTGAGATCCGATAGAGGTGGAGAGTATTATGAAAAATATAATGAGACTGGACAATGTCCAGGTCCATTTGCGAAAGTCCTCGAAAGTAAGGGTATTTGTGCACAATACACAATGCCTGGTAACCGCAACAAAATGGTGTAGCAGAAAGACAAAATCGTACATTAATGAATATGGTTAGGAGCATGATAAGTAATAGCTCTTTTCCTCTCTCATTGTGGATGTATGCATTAAAAACAACAACTTATTTGCTTAATCGGGTTCCTAGCAAAGCAATCCCTAAAACACCTTATGAAATGTGGACAGGGAGAAAACCGAGTTTAAGGCACCTGCATGTTTGGGGTTGCCAAGCAGAAATAACAGTGTACAATCCACATGAAAAGAAGCTTGATCCTAGGACAATCAGTGGATTTTTCATTGGTTATCCAGAAAAGTCTAAAAGATTTATATTTTATTGTCCTAACCATAGTACGAGAATTATAGAGACTGACAATGCAATGTTCATTGAAAATGGTCAAATCAGTGGGAGTGATGAATCACGAAAAGTTAGCATAGAAGAGATCCGAGATAATGTTTTCACACCGGATATCCCTTCTGTTGTTCTTGTACCAAAATTCAAATCAACGTCTCGTGATATTCCAGTACAACAAGAGCATGTCGAAAATCCACATAATGAGAGCATTATTAATGAACCAGTCACGGTACCAGAGGAGATTAATGAACCACCGATCATCTTGAGACGATCTGAAAGGGAAAGGAGATCTGCGATCTCAGATGATTATGTGGTTTATGCTCTAGAACATGAATGTGACTTAAGCATTGATAATGACTCGTCTACATTTCAACAAGCCATGAATAGTTGTAATTCTGGAAAATGGTTTGATGCCATGAAAGAAGAATTAAAATCCATGAACGATAATAATGTCTGAGACTTAGTAGATTTACCAGAAGGTGCAAAGAAAGTCGGCTGTAAATGGGTTTTTAAGACCAAGCTTGACTCACGTGGTAATATCGAAAGGTATAAAGCCCGACTTGCTGCCAAAGGTTACACCCAAAAGGAAGGCACAAACTATAAAAAGACTTTCTCTCCGGTTTCTAAGAAAGACTCTTTGAGAATTATATTGGCTTTAGTTGCCCAGTATGATTTAGAGCTTCATCAAATGGATGTTAAAACTGCTTTTTTGAATGGTGATCTAGAGGAAGAAGTATATATGAATCAACCTGAAGGATTTATATCCACGGGAAAAGAAAATTTAGTGTGTAAGCTGAGAAAATCAATTTATGGACTAAAACAAGCTTCCCGACAATGGTATCTTAAATTTAATAATACCATTACATCTTATGGTTTCGTAGAAAATATCGTTGATCGATGTATCTACATGAAGGTTAATGGGAGTAAGTATGCGATTTTAATCTTATACGTTGATGATATTTTACTTGCTGCAAATGACATGAGAATTTTACATGATGTAAAAGTGTTTCTTTCTAAGAATTTTGATATGAAAGATATGGGCGATGCATTCTATATGATAGGAATAGAAATATTCTGAAATAGATCATAAGGATTGTTAGGATTGTCTCAGAAAGGGTATATCAACAAAATCTTAGAAAGATTCAGAATGGATAAATGCTCTGCTGGAAAGGAGGATTTTGTTGATATACCCTTTCTGAGACAATCCTAACAATATGAAGATAAAATACTTATCTGTCAAAGAAGAAGTGCAGAAACAAAGAGTATCATTTGAGCATATCAGTACTGATTTTATGATAGCGGAGCCATTAACTAAGGGACTACCGCCTAAGACTTTTAAGGCTCATGTTGATCGTATGGGCATTATAGATAAGTCATTGTTGTAATAATTTCTCATTATATATGATATTTTGAATTCAATAAAATTTTATTTCTATTATTGAAAGTCATATTATCATTAAATTATTTGTGTACACATGAAGTTGATGGAGATAATATATATTATTGTTTTATAGTTATTCCTGGCCATAAAAGAGGTTTTGGATGACAAACGATTGTGATACTTGGAAGGAATCATATTCAAATAAATTGATGTGTGACCGCCAAGATTCAATTGTTTGTTGTTCAAATAAAAGTTATCGGTGATAGATGAATACAATAAAATTACGCGTTTTAAAGATTGTAGATCATCAAATCATCACATGGGCCAAGTGGGAGAATGTTGGAAATATAAACAATAAAATGGCCCATGGAATTTTGGGTTTTAAACTTCAATATATATTGACTATTTTGATGTAAATGAGTTTATTATGGTGTTGAAGTTTATGGGTATTTAAGTTTATTCTCCTCTCTTTACCCTATAAATAATGAACATTTGGTTCATATTTTTTATCCATAAAAAATCTATTAAGGTTAGAGAGAAAGAGAGAAAACAAACAACCAACGATTTACTTTGTTCTTCAAAGTTATTCCGCTACAAAATGGATTCATGTATAATTCTTATCTGTGTATATTAATTTCGAATTGTGTGAATTATGTAAAAACCGTATCCAATTCTGGTGGGTTTTCATAAAGTTATCGAAAACCAACATATTAAGATTTTTTACATGATGCAAGTATTAAGACCGTTGTTTATTGCAACAAAAGGATTTTTTTTTAAAAAAAAAAGAGAGTAAAAATTTGTAAACTTTCAAAAGGTTCAGATTGTTTATTTCATCGATTTGATAAGTTTTCATAGACAAAAATCCAATCTAATAAAATCCCGCTAATCCTGAAATCCTAGGAATCCTCACCTTAATTGTCATATTCTCATGCCAAAGAACAGGTGCAATATTTGACTAATTAAAACAGAAATAAAATCAAATAATATTAAAAAAAATACAAGATTGTTCTTGATTTCGAATCTGCAATTCTTGTCTGGTCTGATCCAATCGTCTTTATACACATTATAACTTCCATACATGTTTCTGTCTTAACTTGAAACTCCTAAAATCATGGTGCACTCTCTCTCTTTTGGTAATAAGTGAAGGCTAAGTCAATGTTCACAATTTTCTTCTACTAATGTCATAACATCGTAGCATTGGAGGAAAATACACAGTGCCATATCAACCCTCCAATGAATAACTTGCTATAATACCAAAGATTTAAAATCTCCGCAACATAAATGCATTGATCATGCTTATTCATGTCATTCCTGTATAAGAACAAACATTCAGCAACTTCAGGAACCAGTCATTCCAAAATCTCGACAATGGCTTCCCTTCCATGCATCTTTCTGGTCCTCTGTCTCTCCAATGCTCTTCTCATGAGCTCATCATCCCCGGTCTTTGCAGCAGCAGATGACGATAAGAAGGCGGGTTTTACGATCGTTTTCTGTCGCGATTTCTTGTTGGAACATTGGTTTCGAACGTTAGTTTTTTGTGGGAAACTGATCTTTTTTGGTCCTGGTGATTCAGGAATACATCGTGTACATGGGAGCGCTTCCTTCAGAGACCCATTACTCGCCCATGTCTCACCATCTTAGTCTCCTTCAAAGAGTTGTCGGGTTAAAGTATAGTGTTTCAGGCCGGAACATTCTTCGTTTGTTGCAGCTCTGCGTTTTTGTCATCTCGTGACTTTTGATCCCTTCTCTGTTTTTTTTTTACAGTTTCGTCAGAGATTCTCTTGTCAGAAGCTATGGAAGAAGCTTCAACGGTTTTGCCGCTAAGCTCACCAAAGCTGAAAGCAAGAAACTTGCTGGTGATTTCTCCGTAAAGATCTTTCCTTTACTCTGCTTTCTCTTGCGTGGATGATAACCATAACCATTTCTGATCTTTACGATGTGATCATAGGCATGGAAGGGATAGTTTCTGTCTTTCCAAGTAGAGTTTACCAGCTTCATACAACGAGATCTTGGGATTTCATGGGAGTAGACGACGAGATCAAACGTGCCCCCGAGGTGGAGACTAACACGATAATCGGCGTCATTGACAGCGGAATCTGGCCAGAATCTCCGAGTTTCTCGGACGAAGGCTTAGGTTCTCCGCCCAGCAAGTGGAAAGGTTCCTGCAATGGAGGGTTTAACTTCACCTGCAACAAGTAAAAACACTATACCTCTCATGATTGTCAAGTAAAAACACTATGTTTCTGTTTCACAAGATCTATCGGTTTTTGGGTACTCAATCTCATGGGTACCCGGACTGTTGGTTCAAGTTCGGATTTTTCCGAACCGGGAAATGTTATCTACGGGTACCGGTTAAGAGTAAACCGACGTTTACATAAGTGATATGTTAGTTGTACTTATAAATACCTAGGTAGATATCAATATAAAATTATCATTAATACTCTTGTCAATCCGGACAACGGGTACCCGAGTCTCTCGAGACCGAGGTCGAGGCCGGATACCCCTAGAAACAAAGATAGATTTGCTTATCTTCTCAGCTAACTGCAGCAAGGTGATCGGAGCAAGGCATTACGTTCTAGATTCTACGAGGGACTTTGAAGGTCATGGGACTCACACAGCGTCCATAGCCGCCGGGAACAAAGTAGAAGACACGAGTTTCTACGGCTTAGCACAAGGCACAGCAAGAGGAGCCATACCTTCGGGGAGAATCGCTGTATACAAAGTGTGTGAGCCCGCAGGTTGCAACGCCGCAGCCATCTTGAAGGCGTTCGATGATGCTATAGCCGATGGCGTCGATATCATAACGATATCTATAGGGGGAGGAGTCGCTCCTTTCCATGAAGATCCTCTCGCCATCGGAGCTTTTCACGCCATGGAGAAAGGGATTGTGACGGTAGCTGCTGCAGGTAACAGCGGTCCAAATCTTGGAACGGTTGCTAATTTCTCTCCGTGGATTCTAACCGTTGCAGCCGGTAACACCGATCGAAAATTCGTTACCAAGGTTGTCACCGGAGATGGCATGACTTTACTCGTAAGTCACATATTTCTCCGATACTAACGCTTCCTTCATCGTACTGTTGCATCTTTACTGACTAACTTCATTCGAAAAACAGGGAAAATCGATTGATAGTTTCGATCTGAACAGGCAAATATACCCTTTTGCATATGGGAAAACCGCTTCGAGTATATGTACTGAGGAACAAGCTAGGTAGATCAGCCTTATGAACTCAAATGAGAATCATTCTGATCGGTTTCGGGATCTTTTTCATACCTTTTTTGTGTCCGTGCAGAGCTTGCGTTAGCGATTGCTTGGACATGGTGAAGGACAAGATCTTGGTGTGTGATGGATACGGCGGCGTTGAGAAACCTAAAAATCTCGGAGCCATTGGAATTATTATCCATCTCGTTACGGATAGTATCGATATCGGAACTCTTCCCATCTCCCTTTTAGACGACAACGACTACAACACGCTCATATCTTACATTACCTCCACAGAGTTGGGACCTTGAAACTTCGATACTTCCTGTATGTAAACTCGCTCTCTTCATCTGAAGCCTAATGTTTTCAGAATGTTTTGACAGAAATCCAGAAGGAACCATAATGAAAAGCGAGGTCACTAATGATGCCAAAGCTCCTCTCGTCGCTTCCTTCTCCTCTCGGGGCCCGAACCCTGTCGTCGACGACATATTGAAGGTAAGATTCGAGGATTCTTTCGTAACTTCCCCCCACCTGAGTTGATCTTCAAACTACTTTTTATGAAAACGCAGCCGGATATAACAGCTCCGGGGGTGAATATACTGGCGGCTTATCCGGCCGTGGCCCCACTCTCGGGCGATAAGGACGATACACGAAGGGTAGATTACCGTTTTCTCTCAGGGACATCGATGGCTTGCCCTCATGTCGCTGGAGCAGCCGCCTATATCAAGACGCTCCATCCCGACTGGTCGCCTTCCTTCATCAGATCAGCTATCATGACAACCGGTATATAACTACCACAACCATCTTTTCTCGATTCTTGATCTCCAAGCATTACAACATATCTCCCTGTGTGTATGTGTAGCTCGACCGATGATAGCTTCTGACAACCAAGGAGCTGAGTTCGCGTACGGGTCAGGATACATCAATCCAGTGGGAGCTGCTAATCCTGGACTTGTCTACGAAGCAACAAAGGAGGATTACTTGACAATGCTCTGCGCGATGAACTTCACCAGTGAATCTATCAAGATCATCTCCGGCGAAGACATGAACTGCACTCAAGGATCGAATCCGATGGTCCGAGACCTGAATTACCCATCACTGACGGCCCGAGTTTTTCCCTCCCCGTCTTCTGAAATCACGTTTTCGAGGACTTTGACGAACGTCGGGACAGCGAAATCCGAGTACAAGGCTCAAGTGACTTGGGATCCGAGTCTGAGCGTAAAGGTTGAGCCTGAGACACTCTCTTTCAAAGCGTTGGGAGAGAAGCAGTCGTTCAAAGTCACTGTCTCAGGGAACAGTCTCTCGAGCATTTCTGGTCTTGCCTCTGCATCTCTTGTTTGGTCTGATGGCTCTCATGTCGTGAGAAGTCCTATTGTTGTTTACTCTTAACACAATACATATATATGTATTTGTATCTCCAAAAGCTCTTACAGAGAGAGAATGAAGAACCGGTGATTATGTTTTCGACCTTTTCCGGAGTCCAACTGCTCAACTAAAACGGAAAATCCCGTCCTTTCGTCAATCTCCTTCTTCGTTTCCTCGACACAGCTCTTCAATGTCCAACCTCGGAGATCATCGATCATTGATCACGATTAACAGAATTCGCTGGACCAGAATCAGCTCCAATATCAAACAGAAACCGCCCAATCGCCATATGAACTGTTTTCGAGCTACCTTTTTGCACGACGTTTTTGAAACAACTGATAGCCACTGGAAATAGAAGAAATAAATGAAACCCACGAAGAAGAGTGTTAGTAATGACAAGATCCAGAGCAGAGAGACCCAGAAAAGAAAGCTATCGAATTTCGAAGAAACGAAATCAAATCCCAATGGTGACCAACATTCTCGAAGATTTCACGCTCCATGCCCAGATTACCCTAAAAAGTCGCAGACTTTACGCGAAAATTCTAAAACCCATGCAGAAAACACCAAGCATTCACACCAAAACCCAGTGACGAGACGTTTGGAACTATAAACACAAAATGTATAACATAAAACCAAAGAGAAGAACCTTCGGTTATTGCAGCTCGTGACCGGTTAGGGAATCGAGAAATCGGTTCGGTGAAACTGTAAAAATTCCGGTACACCCACTTCGGTTCCACCGAAACCTCCGAGGAAATCAGCCGGAAAAAGGGATTGGACAAACGGCGGAGAGAATCTGATTGAAATCGGCGACGTACAGTGCTGGGGAAATTGGGATGATCCGGTCCCGTTAGGGCTCAACTCAAAGCAAGAATTCGGCAGCTTTTCTTGTGAGAAAACGACGGTTTTTTTTATTATAATTATGACATCATCTTAAGGCCTTGTTTGGGTCTTAAGCTAATTTAAACCCTGATTTTAACTCCGAGGCTAAAACTGTCAATTCATAGAAGAATAACTAAATACCTTAAAGTCCCCAATTTTTATCACGAATTCTAAATATTCCCCTTTAGTTTTAATTATGGATCTAACCCCCCAAAGTTTTGCTTTTTCGGATCACGAACTGAGAATTCTGGTACGTTTCGTTTGCTCATAGTTCCAGTTCAGGAATTTCTTCCACCAGATTATGGATTCAGATAAAATTTAACCTAGACAACCACTCATTTGACTCTCTTGATATCCCTACAAAACCATGATCCATGTTACTTATGTGTTCTTGACATAAACATTCACATTCTCTTTATTTTATTCAAGGTAATTTATCTTTGGTTAATGAGGAACATACTCATATCTTTGCACAAGCCGGTTTCTATCGGATCAAATGTCTCCCTCCAATAATGGTATCGTTTTACATGCTATAGCTAAAATTCAAGTTTCTTTTGGGTTTGTTCAGTTGCATTAGGAATCACTGCCTTTTGAAATCTTTTGTACATGTTAAACTCATGTAAACTTTTGGGTTATTTTTAATTTGGTAGTAATATAACAATCACATTCAACCAAAAAGAAGGTAATTTATCTTTTCCAAAAAAAAACTCATTTCCAATAATCTCATTCCCTACCTGATCGTTCGTGTTTTGATCGGTCTTTGCAGGAATCGGTGCATATTTCGGGGACGAATGCCAGAAACACGGGGTGTTAGTCCGATGATGATGATGATGATAACAAAAATGATGTCACTGATGCATGCTTATGCTCATGCTGCTTATCTTCAATAAAGAAAGAAAAGAAAAATTTGAAGCTTTAAGTTCTCCTTTGCTCATCTATGATGATTCACAGAATGTGTCTTTGTTATATATGTCCTCACAGAGCGAGAAGAGTGATATTGTACTTGATAGGAGGTGGATATTAGGTTTGAACTGAATAAAAGTATATTGGTTATTAACCAAACCGAGTCGACTAACCGTTTGATTTTGATTTTTCAAAATCCGAAATAACAGGATGCGAACTGATTAAAATTTAATAACCGTTTGATTATGGATTTTCAAAACCTAAAATAACCAAACACGAAAAGAACCGAACCGAACTGTTTATGCATCCCTATTTATATATAGTTATATACAAGTATACATGTACATATTTATAATTTAATCATTGTTTTATTATTTTGTACTTATCTAGTCAATATTTTATTATTTTTAAAATTTGTGTGAAATAAACATTTCAAGAGGGGAATATTTATTTATGTAATATTTTTTATTTTATTATTTTTATTCAAAATATGAATTTAGATTTTATTGTTTTAAATGTAAGATGATCATGATAACATTTTATATTATATTTTATTTGAATATTTTCCTATTGTAAATGAATTAACTTTTTTAACATTAAAATCTTTATTTGATTATAATCTGGTTATAGTTTTTAAATAAACAAAATCGAATTTAACCAAATAAAATTAATTAATCATGGCTATGAATCTTATAATCTAAAATAATCGAATCTGAATTAATCGTAACCGATTAATTCAAACCGAAGTATTTGACCACCGCTAGTTCTTGATTTCGGATATGCAATTCCTGTCTTGTCTGATCTAATCATCTTTTATATTCATATAATGTCTATTAGGAAACCCATTTGGTCATAATACATTTTGGGTTTAATGAATTACTGTTTTGGGTCGGATCAATTCATAAAACTTATTTCATCCTAATATATCCATTTAATTACTTTCATGATCCATATCTATTCTAAAAGGATAAAAAAAATCAATTAGGTTACCATCTTATTTTTATTTTAATTCGAATCAATTCGATCGGTTAAAATTCGAATCTGATCAATTCGTTTTGTATCGAATTCGATTTGTTTCGATGTGGATCAAATCGATCGCTTAATTTCTATACGAATTAAATTCGGAAAAAATGGATCCAAATCAATTCGTTCCCGTTTAGATGATTTCTGTCCTAACTTAAAAATCATAAACCACGCCGCAATCTCTCTCTTTCGAACAAGTAAAAACTATGTCCATGTTCGTGAGATTTTTTTACTAATGTAATAGCGTCATAAAGCCTTTTGAAGGAAGAAAATATACGGTACAGGCCTCAAATGACGAAATTACCAAAAGATATAAAATCTCTGCGACATGCATGCATTCATCATACCTTATATAAGAACAAACATTCAGCGACTTTCAAAAAATCAACAATGGCTTCCCTTCCATGCATCTGTCTGGTCCTCTGTCTCTCCAATGCTCTTCTCATGAGCTCATCATCCCCGGTCTCTGCAGCAGCAGATGACGATAAGAAGGCGGGTTTTACGATCGTTTTCTGTCGTGATTTCTTGTTGGAACATTGGTTTTGAACGGTAGTTTTTCGTGGGAAACTGATGTTTTTTGGTCCTGATGATTCAGGAATACATCGTGTACATGGGAGCGCTTCCTTCGGAAACCCATTACTCGCCCATGTCTCACCATCTTAGTCTCCTTCAAAGAGTTGTCGGGTTAAAGTATAGTGTTTCAGACCAGAACATTCTTCGTTTGTTGCAGCTTTGCGTTTGCGCCATCTCGTGACTTTTGATCCCTTCTCTGTTTTTTTACAGTTTCGTCAGAGATTCTCTTGTCAGAAGCTACGGAAGAAGCTTCAATGGTTTTGCCGCTAAGCTGACCAAAGCTGAAAGCGAGAAACTTGCTGGTGATTTCTCCGAAAAGATCTTTCCACTACTCTTTTTCTCTTGTGTGGATGATAACCATAACCATTTCTGATCTTTACAATGTGATCATAGGCATGGAAGGGATAGTTTCTGTCTTTCCAAGCAGAGTTTATCAGCTTATGACAACGAGATCTTGGGATTTCATGGGAGTCGACGACGAGATCAAACGTGCGCCCGAGGTCGAGAGTAACACAATAGTCGGTGTCATTGACAGCGGAATCTGGCCAGAATCTCTGAGTTTCTCAGACGAAGGCTTTGGTCCTCCGCCCAGCAAGTGGATTGGTTCTTGCGTTTCAGGATTTAACTTCACCTGCAACAAGTAATAACAATATACCTCTCATGATTGTCACTTGATGTTTCTGTTTCACAAGAACAATGGGTGAGCGTTTAAATCCGAGATACGTCGGTCTTTGGGTACCAAGACGAAGTGAGAAACACGGACTCTTGGTTCAAGTTCGGATTTTTCCGAACCGTGAATTGTTATCTACGGGTACCGGATAAGAGTAAATTGATGTTTATGTAACTGATATTTCAGTTGTACTTATAATACCTTATTAGATTTCAATCCGGGTAACGGGTACTCGAGTCTCACGAGAACGAGGCCGAGGCCATATGCCCTTAGAAACAAAGATAGATTTGCTTATCTTTTCGGATAACTGCAGCAAGGTGGTCGGAGCAAGACATTACGTTCAAGATTCTGTGAGGGACTATATGGGTCATGGGACTCACACGGCGTCGACAGCCGCCGGGAACAAAGTAGAAGGCGCGAATTTCTATGGCTTAGCACAAGGCACGGCAAGAGGAGGCGTACCTTCGGGGAGAATCGCTGCATACAAAGCTTGTGAGCCTGTAGGTTGCAAAGCCACAGCCATCTTGAAGGCGTTCGATGATGCTATAGCTGATGGCGTCGATATCATATCGATATCTATCGCGCGAGAAGCTGTTCCTTTCCATGAAAGTACTCTCGCCATCGGAGCTTTTCACGCCATGGCAAAAGGGATTCTGACGGTAGCTGCTGCAGGTAACAGCGGTATGGGTCTCGGGAAGGTTACTAATATCTCGCCGTGGATTCTAACTGTGGCAGCTGGTTTCACCGATCGAAAATTCGTTACTAAGGTTGTCACCGGAGATGGCAAGACTTTACTCGTAAGTCGTGTTTTTCTTCGACACTAACGCTTCCTTCATCGTATTATTGCATCTTTACTAACTAATTTCATTCGAAAAATAGGGAAAATCGATCGATAGTTTCGATCTGAACGGGAAAAACTACCCTTTCGCATATGGGAAAACCGCTTCAAGTACATGTACAGAGAAACAAGCTAGGTAGATCAGTCTTATGAACTCAAATGAGAATCGTTCTGACCGGTTTCGGGATCTTTTTCATACATTTTTTGTGTTCGTGAAGAGCTTGCGTTGGCGATTGCTTGGACATGGTGAAGGACAAGATCTTGGTGTGTGATAGATACGGTGGCGTTGAGAAGCCTAAAAAACTCGGAGCCATCGGCATTATTATCCATCTCGTTACAAATAGTATCGATACCGGACCTCTTCCCATCTCTCTTTTAGACGACAACGACTACAACACGCTCATATCTTACATTACCTCGACAGAGTTAGGACCCCGAAACTCCGACACTTCCTATA